TCTGGATCGTCTTGAGACTCAGTTCTCAAACGTTCAGAAGAAAGTCTCAACTATCCAAAGGGATGTTAGGACCATTCTTTCATATCAGCGTCAGTCTCTCGGGATTCCGGATCCCTCTTCTAGTTCTGAGTCTGATTCTGAGGAGAACCCTGCTGATGGCTCAGGCTCTTCTGATGGTGATGATGATGGTGATGGTGATAGTGATGGTAATGATGATGGTGATGATGATTGATCTTGCAGCTTATTGGAGTTCTTTTTTTTCCCATGCTTTTTGTGATGCTCCTTTTTGAGTTGTAAAACTTGATAACTATGTTTTTTGTTTGAGTGTAATAACTCTATATTAGTGTGGAACTATGTGACTTTTTATGTAGGGTTTGCTATCTTGTGGAACAAACTATGTTTATGCAAAACCATGTTGTTTCTAAATGCTTAAGTGATGATTTGTGATCTATTATGTTAGTTTATCTTTTCTATGATCAATGCATGGTTGAAACAATGTTCATGTCTTGTTTGTGGAATATAAGTTGCTAATGATGAGTTCCTTGATTTATATATTGTTTACGTTCTTTTTGGATAATTTGTTGTTTAGCTCCTATATATGTTCAATAGATGTCATTTATTCAATTTGACAGGGGGAGCTTTTGGTATACCTTTTTATTATCTGTGCTTATATGCAGGGGGAGCGTTGCTCCTAATTTGTTTCTTTTTCCCTTTTTGATGTTGTCAAAGGGGGAGAAAAATCCACATATGGTTTACAAATTGATTCTTTTTATATATGGTTTATGTGATCTTTCATGTATGATTTATTCATGTTTGGCTTATATGTGGGTTATTTGTTTATATTTCATATTCATGTATAAATTGTTTGCCATCATCAAAAAGGGGGAGATTGTTGACCCTATAGTTTTGATGATGATTTGTCAAACAATTTATCGCTAATATATTCTCTAGTTTTTGTGTTTATGTTTCTCTTTTCAGGTATTTCAACACACGTCAATCAAGCGTTAAAGATTCAAGTTCATATGTGTGGATTTACCTAGGTATATGTGTGGTTTACTTACATATATTGTATGATTATATCTAAGCTCAATATATGTACACTTAACACGATTTTTGACGTTTTCTATCATATAAATAATTTTTCATCAAACGTTGTTACAATAACTTTTATCTCATGATTACAGCTCTTTCATACTTCATTATATACATATAATACATGCTCAATATATATATACATATTTACAAGATTCATGTTAATTTTCATATTTACGAAAAACAGGTTTTCTGAACACTTTTCAAAAATAGGGAGTTTTCACAAACGAAAATTGATTTTCCAAAAATTCCTTTTCAAACATGTTTATTTCATCATTTAGAAACTTTTCCCAAAGATTCACTATTTTTGGATTTGATTTGATATTTTTAATGAATTTTCTTTGAGCGTAGCGGTCGACCGGACCGGTCGACCGCCGAACTGTCAGAACTGTTCAAACGGCTAGTTTTTCCAGCTGTTTTCAAACTAGTTTTTTGGTCTTTTACTTATTTTTTGCTATAGTATTGGGTGCTACATATACCCCATTGCTGCTCTTCTTCTATAGATCCAAGAAATCCAAGTTTGGTGTTTAACAAAATATTATTTGTGTTTAAGAGCTGTTTAATAGTTGATTTCATCAATCAGTTTTCAAGAGAAGTTTTTCTACAACAAGAAGTGGCTTTCAAATCCCATTGGGATCATCATCTACTGTTCTTCTTGTTTGAGAAGTCTTCTAAACTCTTATATAGCTTGTTATTTCATTTTCATTTCATTTAGCTATATTTATTGAGTTTCATTCACTGTTATCACACACACTTATTGAGCTTAATATTTTCATACTATATAGTGTGGGTTGTGGGGTGTGATTTAGTGAGTGTGAGCTTCATTGTGTTCTCACTTGTTATTTGAGAACAAATCATTGTATTTAACTTTTATTTGTGAGAATCACTTGTAATACACTTGTACACCGAGAGAAGTGTGAGGCGAGACACGAGGTCGAATTCAATAGGAGTGGCGTCGATTGACGAACCTAGGGAGAGGTCGTAATCGAGAACTTGAGGAGGAGGACACGGGGTAGGTTCCTACACTTAGTGTGTATAGTGTGATTGCATAGTGTTTGTGTAGTGTGAGAGTTTTCGGTGATCTTGTAAACCGAGTGTGTAGAAGTTCCGGCTTTCAAACCGGATTGTGAGAGTGGATATCTCCTCGAGGTGAGGAGCGGGGACGTAGGTCGTGGTGACCTAACCTCGTAAACATATCGTGTGTTTGTATTTTGCTTAGCGTATATTTTTATTCATCATTATTGTTCATATCCATATCATATTTCTTCTTGCAAGATCGCTTAGCGTATATTTTTATTCATCATTATTGTTCATATCCATATCATATTTCTTCTTGCAAGATCAAATTGATCAACATAATTTTAATTAGCTTTTAATTGGGATTAGATTAGCATACGACCCTAATCACCCCCCCTAGGGTCTAACACAGGTACGTAGTTAAGATTCTCATGGAAAATAGCACGTATAATGCAAGAGTAACACTATTTGATGCAGTAGAAACTCTTATTAGATACACAATAGAAAAATTCATTACGAAAAAAAAGAGGTAATTCCTAACTCTATTCAAGTAATAATTTAGAAAATCAAAAAAAAATTATATATATTAAAATAACATTTGTTCTCATTGAAACAGAAAAATAATCAGAGTCTATATTTTCATAAATTTGTGTTGAACATCGAAAAAACGTTCAAATTCCTGGTGAAGTTAGATGAAAAAACAAAAGATGAACAAGGCAAAGGAAATATAATGGCACAAGAAATCTAACTCCAGCCTGATATTACAATCGACGTAGATGATGAAGATGCTACTCTAGAATTTCTCAGAAAAAAGATAAAGGTGGAGAAAGATTGATCTCGGTTTAATTAAAATATGAAACAAAAATAATAAAGGATAATATTTTTTTGATCATTTTATATAATATCTTAATTTTTGAGTAGAATTAGGAATTTATATAAAAGATTTTCATACAACATTATTAGTAGGTTTGTATGCTTATATGATTGCTTTCATCACATAAAAGTATACTATAGTTACCATTATTATTTAATTTTTTTTATTATTGCTTTTGGACAATTATAGGTGTATTTCCCTGTCTTTTCTGTAATTGGTATGTTTTGTTCTTCAAATTTTATTAAAAATTTCTGTATGGGATTGCTCTAATCTTACTGTTTTTGGATAATTACTCTCTAATTATAAAGTTCTACGATGCACAATTGTTTAAAATCTTTATGTTTCTTCGAGTTCGTTCTAAATTTGTTTATAGGTTTGCTCTAATCTTACCGTTTTTGGATAATTACTCTCTGACTATAATGTTCTGCAATGCGCACTTGATTAAAATATTCATGTTTCTTGAGTTTCATTATAAATTTTTATATAGGTTTGCTCAAATCCTACTATTTTTCAATAATGCATATTATTGTATAGGTTGATTTTATTATCTCATGTAAGAAGAGGTATCTCAAAACCATTCCTTATAATTTATTTTTATATGATTATTATGGTTTAGTAAAATTGTTTATTACAAAACATGAGCTTATAATGTCCCAATGTGTTGTGCAATTTTATTTTAAATGTAATAAGAAATGTGGTTTCTTTTTTACTAGAATATTAGTTCATAATGATATTGCTATTCATGCTTGACTCCATATTATATATTGGGATTAATAGAGTTCGGAATATCACATAAAGTTTTAATTTAATTTATTTTCTTTGATATTCTACTTAAAGATATTATTATGTCAATTCATATTTTTTCTTAAGAAATCAATTAAGATGTCTCAATTAAGCTTATAATATCCAAAAATGTTGTGCAATTCTATTTTAAAATAAGAAATATAATTTCTTTATTGCTATAATTATAGTTCATAATGATAATTACAATATCCCAGTTAGGTACATTCATCTCAGTTTAGCTTAAATATCCATTACATTAATTTTTAATAATATTTAAATAAAAACAATAGTAAATCTAATAATTTAATTTTACATATTTGAACTCAAGATAAATCTGACTCATTTATAGTAACAAAATAAATATAAAAAAATACTTTGATATTTTACCACGTGTATTGCACGTGCATGAAAACTAGTATATATATATATATATGAGATTAATGGGTATCCTTGTCATAGGAGGAGATTTCCTCCTATGACGCCTTTAAAATCACATGATTGAACGACATTGTGAGTGATCCGCTCCGTTGAACTTGATCTACATATTCTAAAACCCCAACACACCAAGTTTGGGGTGAACCCGTCGTCGTTTGACCCTTCATCCACTCGTATCAATTTTAACGGTTTTGAATGAATAGAACTTTTCACATGGCTTGATGGAAGGTCAAACGACGACGGATTCACCCTATATATATATATATATATAAAAAAAAATCTCCAATTAAATCGCTCTCAATTAGCGGAGATCGAGTCGAAAAATCACGGCGACAATTTGGGGATAGAGATCGCGACGGCTAATCAGATCTCCGACGACATAGATTGCGAGATTGAACAGATCTCCACCAAGACCTGCGACAGTGCGACAAACTCGTCGACAATTGCAACGACCAAGATCTCCTACGACGACTTGAGATCGGCGACTTAGAAGGAAAAAAATTATTTAGTTTAAAAAATTTATTATTTAGGAAACCCTAAAGGCCTAAACCAAGCTCTGACACCATGTTAAAAGTAAAAGAGATAGAGAGTCTTAAATAAATTTTCCTTAAATTGAATATTGAGTGTATATATATACATACAAATAGAGGAGGATGAGGTTTGTCCTTATAACCAATGTGAGACTAAACCCGCTACTAACACAATATAATCAACATACACCAAGATACTATTGTTACCACTTTTTCATTAATAAAATTGAATCTCTGTTAACGATATGAACACATAATAGTACAGCCGCTATCAAAGTGAACTATTTCTTTCGGATAACTGTTTCTTCAAGGTTACAAATTGACAACGTCCAACATACAACGATACTTGATACTACAATATCAACAGAGCAACAAATAGACACTTTGCGTCGAAAACATGCATAATTTTTTGATGGGAGCAGCATACAAATATACAATAGAATACACTGGATGAATCATATAGAAATTGAAGCTGACGGGGAATACTACAAAAATTGATATGAGAAAGAAAACCGTAATGAGAGAGCGAGCCAAGAAAAGGAGGGGAAAAAACAGAATCATATCACCATTTCTCTACAATTTCTTTTTTCTACAGTTTTCATGAAGAAGACGTCCGATCCATCCGCTGAGCTCCCAACTTTGGAGCAGCTTTTGTTCCCCGGCCTCTGCCCAATGTCAAGGGCTTTGCTCTGGTAGTTGGGGGAGGTGCAGCAATGGCTGCCCATGGATCACTGTCATCATCCACCACTGTTTTCTTCAGAGGCTTTGAAGCTGACCTTGGTGGGGGAGCAGCAATAGAGCCCCAGAGATCATCATCACTGCTGGTTGATGCAGGCTTCACATTGAGAGACTTTGCAGCAGATTTAGGAGCCGGAGCAGCGATAGCACCCCATAAATCATCCTCTTCTTCTTTTGGCGCCTTCAGTGCTGGTTTTTGCCGTGAAGAACTTGTTGTAACTGAGAAGGAATGATAGAATCATATCATTTTTTTTCACCCAAAAAAAAAAAAAAAAATCTCAGGGGCTGGCACGCTAGGTTTGATCTCTCTTTACATCCGTAGGATTTAAGATATGCGACTGATATAGATATGCAAGGTGGCTTCAAATAAAAAGGGTTAATTGCAGATAGAGCCCCTGTACTATCACCCATTTGCGGATATACCCCTTGTTGCGGATAGACCCCTGTACAATCGCCTAATTGCGGACAGACCCCCGGAGGAAAACTTGTTTTAATTCTTTTACCCTCAGGAGGTCTATTTGTCAAAAACTAATTATCTTTCTCTGAGGATAAAAGAGTCGAAAAAGTTCACTCAAAGGGTCTGTATGCAACAATAAAACTACAGGGGGTCTATCTGCATTTGACCGATAGTACAGGGGATCCATCTGCAACTAACCCTAATTAAAACATCACCCAAACAATGAAAAAAAGGCATGATACCTTTTCATCTCAGCAATTATAAAAGTTGAAGATGGAAATAGGAAAAACCTTGAGATTGCGGTTGCACCATTGGCCTTTTTTGAGCAGCCTGTATATTGGAAAGTGGAGTTGGTTTCTGCTCCTCGAGTGGGTCAAGGTCATCCCATCCTTCTTTGTCACTGTCATGATCGCCATGGAAAAGACCATTTTCAGGTTCACCCCAACCATCGGTTGATGTTGGGGATGAAGGTTGTGGTTGATCTGGTGCACTCATGCTTGGACTTGAATGGGCCGCTATAACATCCGAGGTGTCTATAACTGCAAGAAATATTGAATTCATATGTGGATATTTCCCGCTTAAGTAAAACAAAAAAAGAAGAGGTTACGTGAACAAAGTCAAAAAAAATTCCTGTGAAAAACTTTTCTGTAATCTGGTCATATGATAAGTTCATAACTTTCTTTTTTCTACTACCAAAAGACAAAAAAAACTTCAATTCCAACTTCCAAGTAACTACATGTTGATATTAACAACACTATTAAAAATAAAAAAAATGGTGTGACAGCCAAAAAAATTCCATTGATTGTCCTCTGTAGACGTGAAACTGAAGTCTGCATATATTACTTTAGTGCCGAAAGGCTTTTATCCATTTGTTAAAACATACGGAAGCCGTATGATATACATTTACATAGTCTGTTTCCTTGAAGTCTATGGAACAGTCAAATGAAACACCACCACCAGTATGAGCATGTTTCAACAAAATTCATGCAAGCTCAAGAGAGAAGAAACAAGTGGTAAAGAGAAATGTAAATTATAAATGAAATCCGTGCTTTTCATCCTATGCCTGATCTGTTATTTCTGTAATACTATGAAAACAGTCCAAAACAGCATCCTAGGTTCTAACTGTACCATCCATGAGCATGCCTCCAAAATTTGAAGCAAGCTCAATGTAGAAAGAGGGCAACCAAATGGGTCACAGAGAAAGAGATGTCAAACCCTCAGGAAAGGTAATCCATACTAGACTCATGTCAGAGTCCTTGGTTTCAATTATTAAAATAGTGATTGATAAGCAGAAAATCCAGTCATTTCTCTGAGCATACATAGCTGTAGAACAGACACTAATCCTTATGCTATCGAACATATTGAAGCTAGTTACATGTATGACACCCACAAAACTTAGCCTGAGCAATTATTAATTCAGACTATTTGAACTCTCAAACGCCATGTATAAACATCTTCACAACTAAAATGGACAGCTTTGTCAAACACTGAAAATTTTAGCCCAGCTGATGCCAACTACCCAGCCCGCGGAACTGAAAAGCAATTTCTTTTTGTCTAATCCTCACTCATAACTTTTTTTTTTCCGACCAACTTAGGATGCTACTAAAAGATTCATCAACAGGAAAAACATGGCATACATCCTTTTCCGCAATGATTATTTGACATAGCCATGATGGACACAAGGCGTATCAGATAGAGCCATTCACCAACGAGGACACAAATACAAACCGATTTATTCCTGAACATATCTATATATGGACCCTTTATTTGTTATGGCTATATCTATGTTTTTAACTGACCATAATTTTGGGGAAACAAAGAAGAATGTAAAAGAATGTTGGTCACTGAAGTTTGAAACGATGGATATGCATGACGTGTTACTGAAGGATACATCGAAGTTTGGTGGGCAGAAGCTTCCTACATACTATGTCTTTGTAGATGCATAATCCTTTCCGATTTTCTTTTCCTTCTTCATTTTCTGCCCACCTTTTTTCCCCTGGTAGAAGCAGATTCATGAACTTGACGAGTAAGAAATAGGAAACAAAGAGCAAGCGAGCAACTCATTTATATGATAGGGATCAACTCATATATATCACAGACATATACTTTCAGCATCATGGTAAACTGACTACAGAATGGTGTCAGCATCACCTATATTTCTTGTATGGGAATACATGATACTTATATTTCCACAACACACTCTCTATGCATAACACTAGCGGGCAACGTGTTAGCATGTCCAAACAGTTCTTGTTTCACGACATACTTGAATGAATGTATGATCAAAGTTATCTTGTTACTTGAATTTTAAAATAGAAGCCATCTCTCGCAACATCACATGTTTTCTTGAATAGAGAGTTCACCCTATTTCTAGACCTCATTTTTTAACTTATATTAATATGTCTCGTTAAAAGACTTGTCAACCTGTGACCAAGAAAGAGTAAATAAAGCTCCAATTGATCATTACTATCTTAAAAGTTAAAATTGACTATTATCACTCAAGCAATTGAAATACATACCTGAGCTAGCATTTGAGGTTGCCGAGGTCAGTGGCATACTAGAATTTCCAGAAGCAAGTAGAGCATATTCAGAAGTTTTCCCTTTCAGTGTCAAAGAACTCATTGCCCACCTGTGGAGTTTTCAATGGTAGCGAGCCTCATTTTCTTTGAAAGAGAAAGCATACAAATTCAAACATGTTGAACCTTACTGAGATGAAGATAACAAATAAATACAAAGTAGAAAACTTTCCTATGCCTACTCCAAGATGATATTCAAAGGAAATGCATCGTTGATCCCATAAATTATCATATATAACAGACACACAGAGGGAGTATTTTCCTTCATATCTATATAAAGAGAAGAGCAAGGATACCTGCATGCTATTCATTTAGATAAGTGTCAGTAGCAACAAGGGAAGGTCTGGTGGCAATTTATAGATGTGCATGCATATGCAGATATGTCTGTGTTTCATGTCAAGTATGTATTGGCCACGTGCAGAAAGGGAGCAAATTTCATGTCAAATATGCAGAGCCTCATTTAGGAAGGGAGTGATAGTTCCAGTCAGCAATCACCATTTGAATCACGTAAAGTACGTGACTTGTAAAGGTCATTTAATTAAAAAAATGGGAAGTGACATGGACAAGAATAAAAAAAAATCATGGCACTTCACTGACAACAAGATATATAAAATAGCAATTGTATACAGAACTTCTTAAACTTAATGGTGAATATAGTTGAATAAGTGGATAACCTTTTGAACATGTGTTCAATATTTGACGACCAATCACAAAAACAAATTCTTTATATAGTAACAGTATAATGAGATATATCCAAGGAGATAACTATAACTTGAGATCTATCTTGCACATTATGCAAGACTTTCAATTATGATGAGAAAACTGACTTCATGTGTTCATGGGACAAGCATGCTACAAGAACTCACCCAAGCAAACTAGCATTTCCAGGTAATAAGGGTGTTCCACCACTTGCACTGTCAGGACCCTCTCCTGCATTTAGCTGCAAGAAACCAGGAAAAACACATTGTGATGACTCCCATGAGAACCATAACCGTTAATCAAAAACACAAGAAAAGAAATCACTGTTAGCTATTATCAACATGATAAAATTATACATCACAAGATTCACAACTATGCAACAAGTATCAAGTATTTATCCTGTTCTCCAGCAACCTATTTGCTTCACAAAGTAGGAGTATATACTTCTATGATATATGGACACGCAAAGTCATATGTCCATATGATTAAAGAAATTCATCAAAACCTGGAGTGCAGTAGTAAAAGACTATCATTAATACAAAAAGCATATTGAGTGTAATTTTTTTAGAGTACAATATTCAGTACTATCTGGCATGAACATCAGCAAGTTACCTGAATATTTTAAATTAAAAATAAACACAATTTAAACATGTCATACCTTTTCATGATGTTGTTTTGCCACAAGCAAAAAGTGATCTATCGCCTGAAATGCTTTTGCTCTCACATCTCTACAGACAGAAAGAGTAAACCTTTCAAAAGACATGTTAAGAGATATGTAAGTAATAATTTGTTATTTAATATGATAAGAATACATGTGAGAAACATCTCAGGGAATAGAAGTTCTACAAATTCAAGAACTTATAACCCGTTAACAGACGCTTTATAGGAGCGAGAGGAGGAGTTGCAGGGGCTTATCCCCAAGGCAAAACTGGACAGAGAGAGGGAAGAAGTTGAAGAGGCTTAGCCCTAAAGTGAAACTGTCATTCCTCTATAAGTAAAAATATGGGAACACAAAAGATCTATGTTTAACTGCGTTATGCAAATACATAAAAGAAATTTGAAGATATGAAGCGGGGTACAGGGGGCTAAATCAAAGCGTTTTGGGATCCAAAGCACTATGTATATCGGCAAAAGAAACCAGAACATGTAAAGTGGGGTAAAGGGGGCTAAATAAAGACATTTTAGGGCTCGAGGACCTACTGTCAAAAGCATCTTGTGTAAAAACGTATCTTAAGTAGCATACTCCTTATATCCCCAATTTTGGAAGGAAAACAGTATCCAATGCAGCAAATTTTGAATGAAACCAATGAAGAACTAAAAAAAAGTAGATAGAAAACTATAAATACCCATCAGGATCAATAGCGAGCACGACAACATTTGGCAAGATGCGTGTTGCAATTTCTGTCATATCATAATATGAACTAGTGGCGCTTAAAGCCATAACACCTGCCACAAGCAAATTGCAGGATTACTCCCAGTAATGACTATAATGGACTAGAAATTCCTCCCATGACTGACTGCACTAAAGCAGACAAAATTTTGTAAGAGAAGAATTGAAAATAGCTGAAGCATGAAACTTTTTAACAATAAAGAGCATAAAATAGCCATAAACCAAAAATGAAAAAACATGGATATGAAGTATATTAACTTCTAATAAGCACTTGCCTGCTGCACGGGCTGGAGAGAAGGTATCACGTAAGGCACGGACAGTAAACGCATTAATCAAAACTCTTTTCCTTGTCTGCATAAATGCATTCAAATCCATCAGTGTTTCCTTTCACAGCGAAGGACTCCATTGAAATCTATACTAATTTTAGTTTTGACATAAGTTTTCAATAAAATCATTTTACCTTCTGGAATAAAACAACTAGCACGATGGCTTTAATTCTAGTAAGTAGTACCAACAGAAAGCATATACAAAAAATTTGGATATATGGGAAGGAAACAAAACTTATATGATGAGTTTTAGGACAAACCCCTTCGTTGAGGTAACTGGCAATATTCCCAAGAAGAATTGTAGTATTTGTTCTAATAGCAGGTTCTTCATCTACCTGTAGAAGTCTCAAATATAAACGAAACATCTCAAAGCAACCAAAGAGTTTGTTTATCTTATCACATGATGTGGGGCCCTTGAACAAATGTAAAACAAAGTAACTGGTTCAAATGGAAAGACTTAAGCTGTGAGAGTAGATAGTAATTTAGTCCAAGACAGTAATAAGAATCCTGATGTACCTGTAACTTTGAGAGATACTTCAATAGTGATCCTGAAATAGTACGCTGAGACAACTGCACTCCAAATTCAGAAAATCTGATTGTTTAGAATGAACCTGATAAGAAGTACATCACAAAGCTATGTATGCCTTTGTAGAGAACATGCTCATGCATGTAAACCTTGACATGGAACCACCATACATAAAGAAACATGATGATGACAGTTCACTAAACTTCTTTGAAGATACTTTGACTAAACAACCTAATGAAATTACTAGGTTATTATTGATTGTCTTAATTGTAAAATGAATATCAAGTAAATGAAAAATAATCCTCTCTGATAGCAGAATAAGGGAAAACAGAGGTCCTGCCATGAACTATAATATCATAACAAAAAAATAATTTAAAATGGAATAGGAATACAGCAACATTTTTCTTTGGGTGGGGGGGGGGGAGCTGCAAATGATCTTTTTCAATAAGGACACTTTATGAGGAATACAGCAACATTTTTTTTGGGGGGGGGGGGGGGGAGCTGCAAATGATCTTTTTCAATAAGGACACTTTATGTCTGTTAGATCACTGTAAGAAAACAGCATGCAGCACAAATTTAAAGTTGTATTAAGCAGACCCTTTTAAGTCCACAGATCCTCGGGAAGCAAAATACTTGATACAGACTTGTTTAAAAGTGTCTTCCAAATGCATCCATGATTCCCGAGGCATTCTCATATTTCAGTCACTCTCATATTAGACTATTAGTCCATGCTCAAGGACGCATGTGCATCCATCTCAGTAACCTTATCAGGTATCATCTAAGTCTCATAAAGCAAGATAAACCAAATCAATTTATATGTCTTAACCATTGTTTGTGGTTTCTATTTTTTTTTAACGCACATATGCTATGTCCGCTTAGTTATTCCGAGCTTTCAGAAAAATGCTGTGCTAATTATATGTTTTTCCAATCTTTCTTAAAACATTAGGAGAGTTGCTCAAGAACAATTTTTCACATGTATATTTCATATTCTGCGTTGAACTTTGACCTTCCAAAAGAAAAGAACAAGCTTACACATATGTTTGAATTTGTTCCAGATAATTGATTATTCAATGTAACACTAGTACACAAGTATATCATGTCGATGCAATGATCTTCTTACTAAGGATGCCTCAATGAGGGTCATATCTTAGCAGCTGTCAGTTAGAACCTTCAACAGCAGTTCTTTCACATTTAACGATTCTTGCATGGTAACATTCTCACATGGTATATCGCAGAAAACTTGCTAAAGTTTCCAAAAAATATCACTTAGCAGTTAGCACCTTCCAGGCTGGAAATAGCCAGGCTGGAATTATCACTGGGCTGCAGTTACTTCTCTCGATCCGTAATTTAGAAATTGGATGAAAAAAACAAGAGGAATATGCTGAAAGAGTAATAAACTTCATTTTCTGCTTTCCTTAAAACAAGAGAATAATGGAATGCGTCAAATAATCGCAATGGAAAGAGTAGCGAAAAAGAGGGAAAGGGTGGAGGAGTTGAGGATCATCTCCTCTTGTCTACTCGCGATTGCTTCACTGATTTTGGAATTCAGATGAATTTATGGTAATATACCTTTCTCGTCCTCTCACAGCAGGCCCATAATTTTGTTGATGCAATCTCCAATAGAAGTTAATTTAGAGGTTTTATAAGTCAAACTCATTAATTCAACGAGTGTTACCCGCAGACACCTATCATAGATTGACCCTATATACTCTGACTAATCTGATCATATACCGAACCTACACATATATAACCATGCTTATGGCGATTTGCCTGAAGCCCGACCAAGGAGAATACAAAGCAGCTTTTCCTCAAGGCTACCATTATAGATATCAAAACATACATGTGCATGTGTGAGATGCAGGGTTCCCCCTTTTCAAACATATAAAATAGAAATCTACATAAGTAGACATTTAAAACACTGTAGTCTCAACAAAACATTAAAAGCATGTTTTTTATTTTAAAACTTGTAATACAGATATTAACAGTTTTTTATAAGAGATACTAAACACATTATCAGAGCCACTTCACAACCAGGTAGGACGGTTTGAAGTGAGTTTCAAGACCCTACTGTGAAATTTGTGGCTTTGGATTCAACAAATTATTCTGGTTCAAGAGTCTGTTGGCAGTCTACAGCTGTAGACCTCTAGTAAATGTCAACGCTATATGTCAAGTACCATAAGTACCACAGATCTATTTTATCAGAATTTTGGTATTACTCATCCAACTCCAAATATTTCTCACTACAAGAGTGCTTGTCCAACACTAAGCCCATCCGATTATCTCCACAAGCTTATATTACAAATAGAGCTAATCCTTGGCACTAGAATTGGTTGCAGATTATGTCATGCAATGGGATTAAATTCCCCTGAATTTAGCATTCATCCTGAACAATCGCACAAGAACAAATATGTACCAACATATAAAATCAGAGGTTCGCTTGCAAGCATAAGCCTAAGAACACACCTATGCGTACGAGCATAGATACACAAATGAGGCACGCCTGTCCAGCCCTACCACCATACACAAATGAAGCACACCTGTCCACCCCTACCACCATATGATACATGCAATTGCATACAGAGTGGTGTGGTCTGTGGATGAGAGAGTTATATTTAAATGGTTGAAGAGTTTGAAATGATATAATGATTTTGATCAACTGGTCAGAACTTTGTAGTATTACCCAGACATTCCAAAGCTATGGTGAAAACTTGGACACTTGAGGGCACTTCTTTAACACTAAACGCAACATGACTATGAAAATACCACAGTACCAGTTGCAATCTTGCAGATGATTTTTCCTATATCTTTTCTGGGGTTAAGCATCTTTTATTCTGTAGAGTTTTGGCATGGAGAATGGTTCTAACGTGGGTAGAGGGCATGAGTGTCAAGCCATGGGTGTCTTTAAGTGTCCGAAATGGGAACCTTCCAAGAATTTGATAGGGAGCATGACTATATTTTGTAGATATCCATGCTACTGAAGTATGCAGTGATTCAGTGAATAATCAAGCAACACAAAAGTTTAGGTCAGAGCACAACAAGATTATCTTAAATGTTATTTGATGCAATACAGTACTAATATCTTTCACGAAAAAGCAAGTAGTACATAATGAGAGAATATGACGGCATGATCCTCGGCCGTAGAGCCAACACATAAAATGAAACACCATCACAGTAAAAAAAATCCAGTTTATTAAAATTGCAAACCAAAAGGTGCATATATAGAAGTCTGTGACAAAAATTCTCACTTATTTAGGGAACAAAAATTTTCTAGAATCTTAAGCTTAAGCATCAAGGGAAGATGTCAACTTATGTTAGATGTGAATGGATACTAACTATTGCAGACCAGCAACAGGGGAAGTTTAGCATGTGAATTGATACTACAATTGCACTAGCAACAGGGGAAGTTTAGCATGGAAATTATAAATCACTAAAACTGTGACGGGCCTTGCCAATCTAGATTTGATGGAATCTCGTACCTTCGGGGCCAAAATTAACATGGACTTCAGCGTCAGCTCACGGAGGAAAGCAGAGGTATCTGAAAATCCAGTGGCAACATGAGGAAAAACCTACAGAAACGTGTAAACGGAAATCAAAAGCTATAGTAAAGACAGAAACTTCAGATAAACAATACTACTCAAATCTTAAGTTATCTACTGAGTGGATACCAGACATGAACAAGGTCCATGCTTATGACTCACCTGTTCATCAACTATTTGAGCCGATAATGATTCTCCAAACTGGTCTATGTGTTGCAGAAGACTCACTCGAATAGCTCGATCATTAGAGGCAAAAAGTTTAACTATAGTTGGCAATACCTAAACAAAGGGGAAAAAACTATCAATATCATCTCCGCTACATCAATTCCTGAGAGATTTGGAGGAACACAAGCCAGCAGAGTAAGACTTAAGGATAAAATAGCCAAGCTAAGTAAATAAAAGTGAACAGAGGGTGACCTTGATACTAAATTCCTCTGTTGAAAGCCAAGATCCCATTTTCAGTAATGCAGTCAACGCCGGGGCAGCAGCTGAACCAAATTCTAAAGCAGACGATAACAGTGGAAGCAACTGCAATAGCAAAACATGAAGGAATTATCCAACATTGCCTTTCAAAACATAAGTAGGAAACTATTAAAAAAACCACTGTGAAAATTTGCAAACCTTTTTCAGCACAATCTGACGGGGGAGTTGTTCAGCTAAGTTCGGGAGCTTCCTGAAGAAGGTGTCTTTCTCAACACTGTCTTTTAAATTCAGAATTTCCATAAACTGTATAGTCTCCACCAATTTGTTGTGAAAATATTCTGCAAATTAGAACCAATCAGCATGGTATGGAAATACAAGATTGAAAGTAGTCTTAAAACAAAATCGAAGTCTCAAGGATATTTCAACAAAAATTGTAAGAGCGACCGGAATGGGAGACAGTTTAATTGGTTACGGAAAGTATAACAGATCAATACATATAAATAAGCTGTTTGATTTATGTTTATGAATTTATAAGCATAACTGCAGTAATAATACCTGCTAACTGCGTTAGTCTTTTATAGTTTTTATACAGAAACAATTACTAGAATGCAGAATAACAATAACAGCACCTTTAGGAGTCATCCTTCTACAAGAAAGCACTTCCCAGAATCATCTTAC